GCACGGCAGGCGCGGACGTACCGACGGACATGGGGCTGCCTCCGCCTGTGCTGCCCGAGGACCGAGCCGCAGAGGACTACGCGGACATGCGAGCGGATCTCAGACACTGGGCAGCGCTATGGTTCGAGGATTACACGTGTCCAGCGACCAACAGTGGTCCGTGGCTGGAGTGGTGCGCTGCTTTCGTTATGGCGATGTTCGAGCAAGGCGGCAACAATCCCCTTCGGCAACTACTCTTCAGAGTTTTCCCTGGCAGGACGCTGCAGCAGATCGTCGACGGTATCTGTGCGAGTGCATGGCGGCACACCGCCGCAAGGCGTCGCGCTTTCATTCAGCGACTGCGGCAAGCACCGCATGAAGAGCGAGTACGCCTGGAACTTCAGCATATGCAGGCACTCGCGCAGGTGCGGAGCATGTTCAGGAGGCTGCTGGGAGAACGTGCCCCAGACCGACCTCGACCTCCACCTCCACGTCAACCTGCGCCTGGGGGTGAGGATGACGAGGAAGATCATGATGTGGACCGAGCTGTTTTCCTTCAGCAGCGTATCGGATGGCTGGCAGCAGAAGGGCAGAATAAGGCTGGACCCAGGACCAGCGCCCCATCGCGCCCACCGTCGGGGGCCGAGGAAGCAGCGATTGAGGACACGCAGGCGCTTGGGGATACGCCCTCTGCAACTCTTGTGCGCCTGCGCAAGCCATGGATGGGCGCGGCAGCGAGCAGTTCGGCGACCGTGGCCACAGCGATCTCGGCAGCAAGCTCTCGACCTCGGCGCAGGATCGCTGGCAAGCTGAAGGTGCGCATGTCCCCTGCCAGGCGAGGGGGTAGGCCTGGGGAGGTAACGGCCAGCGAGGGGGATAGCTCCCCTGCCAGGCGAGGGGTTAGGCCCGGGTACGAGGTGAAGGTGAACACGGAGGACTCCCCTGCGAGGCGAGGGGCTAGGCCTCACAGAAACGTAATGGACGGCGAGGTCAAAGCCCCTGCCAGGCGAGGGGGTAGGCCTGAGGAGGGGCTCACCAATGTGGCGGACCTGTCCCCTGCAAGGCGATGGGGCAGGCCTGGCTACGAGGTGGACTTCCACACGGCGCGACCCCCTGCGAGGCGAGGGGTTAGGCCCCACAACATGGAGCTGGACGGCGAGGTCACAACCCCTGCCAGGCGAGGGGGTAGGCCAGAGGAGGCGACGGCCAACGGCGCATCTCAATCCCCTGCCAGGCGAGGGGGTAGGCCTGAGGAAGAGGTGGAAGTCCACGCGGCGGAGTCCCCTGCGAGGCGAGGGGTTAGGCCTCACAACAAAGAGGTGGACGGCATGGTCGGAGCCCCTGCCAGGCGAGGGGATAGGCCTGAGGAGGCGATGGCCAACGTAGAGGATCTGCCCCCTGCCAGGCGAGGGGTTAGGCCTGTGGATGCGGTGGGGACCCGCACGGCTGACCCCCCTGCGAGGCGAGGGGTTAGGCCTCATGTCAGTGCGACGGCGAGTAGGCCTGAGGAGACGATGGCCAATTCGTCTGTTTTCTCCCCTGCCGGGCGAGGGGTTAGGCCTGAGGAGGTGGTGGAGAACCACATGATGGACTCCCCTGCAGGGCGAGGGGTTAGGCCCATGGGCGACCAGCCTCGACGACGCCGAAGAGGACCCTGTCCTCAACATCGGCGACGGCGAGGGGCTGGTCTGATGTTTTCAGAGGGTGCAGCTGAGCTCGAGAACTCTATGGGGCTGCTGCACGACGGCGCGATCGCGGACCTGCTGGCGCTGGTCAACGCGGTCGCCTCCGAGCTGACGGGCATCGTCGGCGACAACGTCTCCCTCCTCCTCTGAGAGGGAGCGCCGCTGCCTTCGCTGGCGGCGGCGTCGGAGCGCGGCCGCGGAGCCACCGCGGCGGCGTTCGGCTCCTGGAGCAGACCCGCGCCTCCGCGGCCTCTCATCCTCCTCCTCCTCCTCCTCCTCCTCCTCGGCTCCGCCTCCTCCCCGTCCTCCTCCTCGTCCTCCTCGTCCTCCTCCCCCTCCTCCTCCTCGGGTCCTCCTCCTCATCCTCATCCATCATCATCAGCAGCAGCATCATCATCATGATCAGCACCCTCATCCTCATCCCCATCATCAGCAGCATCGTAATCAACATCATCAGTGTCATCATGATCATCATCATCATCACCATCACCATCATCATCAGCATCATCATCAGTATAATCATCAGAAGCATCTCCATCATCGACAGTTTCATCATCACCATCATCAGCAACAGCATCATCATCATCATCATGCGCAGCATTATCAGCATTTTCATAAGCAACAACATCATCAGCAGCAGCAGCAGCAGCACCACCACCATCATCATCATCAGCATCAGTAACGATCATAATCAACACCAGCATCAGCATGACCGTCATCATCAGCAGCAGCGTTATCAACAGCATCATCATCAACATCACCGACATCAGCAGCATCATCGTCATCAGCATCATCATCAGCAGCCTTATCATAATGAGCAGCATCAGCATTATTATCACCATCATCAGCATCATCGTCATCATCGTCGTTGTCAACATCATTCGCATCATCAACATCATCAGCATCACCATCGACATCATCTCCACCATAATCATTAGCATCACCATCGCCATCAGCAGCATCATGATAGCAGTCATGAGCATCAGCATCAGCATCAGCATCATCAGCAGCGCCATCATCATCGTAAGCATCGTAATCATCATAGTCATCGCCGTCATCCACCGCATCAGCATCATCATTCTAGAAGCATCGTCATCATTAACACCATCGTTATCATCGTCATAGCCATCGTCACCTTCAGCATCATCATCATCAGCAGCAGCATCATCACCATCATCATCATCATCATCATCATCGTCCTCATCATCTTCACCATCCTGATCCTCATCCTCCTCATCACACTCATCATTGCCGTCATATCAAAATCATCACCATGTTCATCACCACCATCATCATCACCATCATCAGCATCAGCAGCATCATCAACATCGCCATCGTTATCTCAATCAGCATCCTCATCGTCATCATCATCACCCTCACCATCAGCATCAGCATCATCAGATCATCATCATCAGCATCATCATCATCAGCAGCATCATCATCATCATATCATCATGGCGGCGGCAGGCCGCGGCCGCGACCCGCCGCCGCGGCCTGCCGCCGCGACCGCAGCAACGGCTGCGGCGGCGCCGGGCGGCCACACGGCAGAGGCCCGTTTCACGCAGCCTTGCGCGGGCAGCATTTTTTTTTGCGGCCAGTGCGTCGCGGGGGCCCCACCGCCGCTGCCGAAGAGGCGCTGCCCAACGAGTGGCGTTTGCAGCGGCGGCAAAGAGAAGACCGGGCGCTCCCACGGTGGCGGGGGAGGAGCGGGCTCTTTTGACACCCTGGCGTCGTGAAAGGTATCACGGCGCCACCATTCTCGGGATCCCGCAAGGGGGGGGTGTGCTCCCGGGTGTCTGCGTCTGTGTTATGTGAGTTTGATCGGTTTTTGCACCGAGCCGCCCAAAACAGATGCCCCCCAGCCGCCGGCAGCTCCCGATAGCTGCCGATAGGTGGGGCATGCGAGAGGGGGAAACGGCTTGCGGCAGTTCGGTGCACCAGCGGATCGAACTCATGCCCGCCCCCCTGAGGGTCTCCCCCCCTTTTGGTGGAGCCCGAAACTCACGCAGGCACATACGTCTCCAGGGTCTGCGCGGAGTTCTGGGGTCGGCGCTGGACCAGCGCCGGCCGGAGAAGCCCGCGCGGGCCACTGGCGGGATGGGCAGCATGAGGAGGACCGACTGTTCGGCAGGGCCCGGCGCTCGGCACATAGCAGGAGCGGCCATGGGCCCCGTGGCCTTAGCGTCGGCGGCAAGCTCCGAGGACGCCTGCGGCGAGCAACCGACGCCCTCTGCCTTCGAAAAGCGGAGCCTCTCGGGGACCTCCTCGGGGCAGATCGAGGCTCTCTCGGGGCCCTTTTAGGCAGTGTGCGAGGCCTCGATTGTACTGATGATACTGCCGATGATAACGATGAGGATGATGATGGTGATGATGATGATGCTGATGATGATGATGATGATGATGATGATGATGATGAAAGTGAGGATGAGGATTATGATGGTGATGTTAATGTTGATTGTGGTGGTTATGATGATGATGATGATGATGATGATGATGATGATGATGATGATGATGATGATGATGGTGATGGTGATGGTGATGGTGCTGATGATGATGCTGATGCTGATGCTGACGACGGTGACGATGACACCGACGACGACGACGATGAGGAGGAGGATGAGGATGAGGGTCAGGATGAGGATGAGGATGGTGAAGGTGGTGGTGATGATGAGGAGGAGAATGGGGATGAGGAGAAGGAGGATGAGGATGAGGAAGAAGTTCAAGGAGGAGGATGGGGATGGTGATGGTGATGATGATGAGGATGATGCAGAGGAGAAAGAGGATGATGGTAATGAGAGGTGTGAGGAGGAGGAGGAGGAGGAGGAGGAGGAGGAGGAGGCGATTCGGGGCCCTCTTGGGCAGAGTGGGAGGCCTCTGTGTGGGAGCACCTTCGGGGAGGGCCTGCTGCGGCGCTCTGGGCCGTCTCGGTGGGCTCTTGGTTGCCTCTTGGGGCCTCTTACTCTCGGGGCGATGGCCGGCCATCCATCCTGCGGCTCCCTGGGGCCGCCCTGGAGCATCCTGGAGGCGCTCGATCGGGGCCGTCGCCGGCCCTCTCGGATCTCTCTTGGGCACTCGTCGGGCTCCCGGAGTCCCTTCCGGGGCCAGCTTGATCCGAAAAGCTCTGAAGTTGAAGCACCTGAGAAAGCTGCTTGAAACCCGCGTGCTGCTGTGTGAGTAGGGCCGTCAGAGTGTCAGGTTGCGGCCATCTTCGGGCCGCTGTGAGGCCTCGTGGGGCTCTTCGGGGCCTTCCTGGGATGCCATCGGGCCGTCTGGGGGGCGTGTCGGGGCCGCGTCCTTGCCCATCTTGCAAGAGTTCGACGACTCGGGCGATGAGGTATGTCGGGCCATCGACGTGCGGTCAGGAACTTGTGGTCAGCACAACCCGCTACACGGGCCGACCAAGGAGGACGACCCCGCAGACGGCGGCTGGAGGCTGACGCACCTTCGGGCCCCACGCAGGAAGACACCGTGGAGCTGCCGCAGCAGGATAGCATGGAGCTCGGTACGATCGAAATGGATTGCAACGGCACCCTGACGAAGGCGAAGTGTGGGCCGAAGCAGAAGGTTATCGCATGTATTTTCGCGAATATGGCGATTGCAGTTTTCGCATC